GCTATCTTTTGAATAAATAGTGTCAGTATTTCCTAGATAGCGTGTCTCAAGCTGAGTTTGATATATATTGGGTTAATAGGAGAAAACAACAACAAACCAAAGCAACAAAAAATTAAGAAAGGAACATGAATAACTGTAACTTTAAGAGAATACAAAACAAATGGAAAAAAAAATCTGAACTCTGAAAGATTTCTTCAACTTTTATGTAAAATGAAAAAGGTAGGAAAAACTGCTAAAAACAGAAGGTGGCAACAACTGCTGCATTGTGACTGTACTTCCTTCAGTGCTGATTGGAAACATTTGCCACTGGAGTGGAATAAAAACCTTCATGAAAAATATAGGTTTATTTCCTTTTGAACTTTCAGCACAGTCCTGGGGCCCAAGAGCTCAAACACTCGAAGGCACAGAGTACAAGTTGACAAAATTCATCTCCATTCACTGGCCCAGCAGTTACCACAGTCTTCAACAGGTCACTTCATTCCTCTTTTTCTGCCAGCAAAAGGAAAAATAACACTACTTGTGTACCTCACAAAAGAAGAGCAGTATTACAGTGATTACTGAAAAATAGGGTTTGTTAACAATTTTGAAAAAATAAGTGTCCACTTACCAAGTTCTGTCAGGGGCCAGGATTTTGACTACTAAGTCTCCTGAACAAACACAGCAGAAAAATGCAGAATATCTTATTTTTAATTCTTATTACATATTAATACAGAAAATGAAGAAACTCTGTGTTATTGCACAAGTGAAATGGTTTGAGCATGCTGTCAGCAGCCTCACAAGACATTCTCAGAAGCACTTTACTTAGGCAACACCATTATTTCTGGTTTGGCACACCTGGCAATATTCTTTTGCTACAAAACTTTGCAACACAGGTACTGCCAGGCACTGGCATTAAAAAATTATCATCTCTTTTTGTCCCAGCGACATCACTCAGTGTCAGAAATTAAGAGTAATCAAAGAACAAAGTGTAAGAAGCAGCATTAGAATTACTTTGTCAGGAGATGAGGCAGATACATGGAATGAAATGTAAATGGTGTTAATTCTGCCAGTCTGGGAGCTTTAATGTCACCTTTTCTTCTTTTTGAAGAGTGGAGTGCTGCATGAAATGCTTGACTGATCAAGGAGTTTGGGCTGGAGCTGCATTTCCTGGGACAGCAGAGCAGGATGAAGAGGTGAAAAAGTCCTTTCAGAGGTCATTCATTCTGGCTGAAAAAGGATTATTCTCCATGATCTTTATTTAGTTCAGTTCCAAAATTCCCCGATCAACTAAGTTCCTACAGCAACTGTAATTTACTTTGAAAATTTTTTCAGTTTGATATTTGATAAAAATTTGGTATTTGTATCAATGATTTTGCTCATTCATCATCATCAATGATAATGTATGAAAAATAGATATATTCTAAATGCATAGTAATATATTTAGATAAAATTAAATGGTCTAATGACTTTTTAATGCATTTAAGTATATAAATATCCAAGCAGTGACACATGGAACAGGGCAATTAATGCTCTTGCCTGGCAGAGATGAGATGGAAACCCGAGGCATTTTTTCAGGCAAAAGGAGGAAGAGAGAGGAGAGAACCCCCCACTTTTGGACTTCTTGTCCAGTAATTTCAGAGCCGCAGCAGATGCATTTCCCTTGATAAAGAGGCACACACTGCAATCTACTGCAGTGCCCTGGCAACGGGACTGGAGATGACCAAGCTGATTCCAGGTGTTGCAAGAACAGAATTTCACTCTGCTCAGCCTTATTTTTTCAGCCATGGCAACTCCTTTGCCAACTTAGATGCAAAATCAGGGTCCTCTCAGCCACTTTTCATATGAGCCATGTCTCAAACCCAACGATTCTTCCCTAAGATAATCCAGAGAGACAGTAACAAAGCTAAAATTAGAAAGCAGGAGCTGTAGCTTCCAAGGAAATGCACATTACGTGACGTTTTTTCATTACCACATGCATTTACTGTTAGCAAAAATGGCCCAGAGAGAACACTCCACAGTGAAAAATCCTCCCCCAAAACTCAGGGGTGGGTGACAACATGGTGTTTTACTCAACAAATTAAAAAAAAAAATAAAAGAAACAGTAAGGAATGATATAAATAATTAATTATGATAATTAAATAAGGGCTATAGCATCACAGATTATAATGGCATCACCCAAACTATGCAGCTGATTTTAAAAATAGTGTATGCATTGAAGATACCAATCTATGAAGGCACAATAATCTGTTCAAATAATACAATTAATACACATAATACAATTAATAATTCTCCAGAATAACTTAATGAAGTAAAACTTCATTTATATATACACCTAATGTTGAAAACTGCAAACTTAGGTGGAATATTTCAATGATCACAAGTGGTGAAAATCATCTTTACACATGAACCCTGGTATTTATTTGGAGGACTTGGCTGCTAACAGGAATTTTAAGAATAAAGAGAGATGCTTTACCTCAGGAATATAAGAAAAAGAGAAAGAGAAAAAGAGAAAGAGAAATAGAAAAAAAAAAAAAAAAAAAAAAAAAAAAAAAAGAAAAAAGGAAAAAAGAAAAAAAAAAAAAAAGGAAA